TCATACAGAATGAAATTTGCATGTATATAAACTTCACAAATGAGTAAAATTAAGAAACTTCTTATTTATGGATTTATACTGACATACTAAAACTATTTTTCAAAAATTAAAAAAACAAGAAACAAAATCCAAGATAGTAATTCTTTCTGAGTAGGAGACAGGGTACAGGGATAGAAGATGGGAGAGTAGTTTCAATGACAGACTGCCTTAGCAGTTGTTATTATGCTTTTTAGCTCAAATGTTACAGATTTTGTAAATATCAAATATTTCATGATAAAAGGTAAAAGAGTGTTTTTAAGAAAGATAAATCAGTGGGGTAGTTTTTCACTTTTGTAACCAGAAAAAATGGTACTTAATCACCTGCTGCCAATATAGCCAATACACAGAGAGAGGACTCAAAGCAAAGGAAGAGCAAAACATTTATTGTGCGTCAGTACAGAAGAGGACAGGGAAGCAGGAATCTCCTAGATCTGCCTCCTGAAGGGAAAGGGGAGAGAGGATTTATAGGGATCGTGGGCATAGGGTAAGAGCCCAAGGAATTTTAGAAACTTCTTTTTTGCTGACCATCTAAACATGTTGTCTCTGACAGGCTTGTTCCCTGTGGTGATTATCAGTAGCCTTCACAAGAAACATGTAGCTGTTTTTCTCCTTTCCTGGGGTTGTCCTTAGGGTGGGGATTAGCTAGCAATTAAAACAAGAAATTATTAATCTCTTAAAAAAATAGAGAGAGAGAGAGATTAACTATGAGGTAGTAATTGACTATGGCAGGAAAGAAGCTATATTTTCAGTATAGCTGTCTTGACTGTGTGGATCTCATTTTACTTTGGCCAAGCTAAAAGTGTCCAGTGCCCTTAGTTTCTCAGTATCCCATTTCACTTTCACATTAGGAAGAATTAAATTATATACAAATTATTTACAAAGGTGAGGCAGCTGTTTAGTACTCTAGTTCACTGTTGGTGATGGGATTTTTAAATTAGCTCAAGCATTCTAAAGTCACTTTGTAATATGTATTCAAGCCTTTTAAGCCAGCAATTTCATTTCTATTAAGTTGTCATGAGAAAACAATCAAACCTGTGATTATAAAAGGAAAGATATCAAGAATATTCATAACAGAGTTGTTTAAAACTAAAATTTGAAATAAATGTAGAGTGATGAGTTTTTGCTTCTAGTAAAATGGTTAAGTCTATAATTTAGATTACCATACAACCATCAGGAACTACATACTAAAAGCATATTTACAGTATGAAAAGGCATGTATTATACTTAAATAACCAAGGCAGATTGCAGGACAATTTGATTGTATTTTAAATAATACAATTTTTCAAAGGTATAAAGGAAAATCCAAAAATAAATTTATCAAAAGTTTGAAAGATTTGAGTGGAAATATTTTTTTTTCTTTTTATTGTGATTTGGGTGACAGTTTACCGAACAAACTGGTTTTCCAATCAAGAATCCGTAATATTGATTACAGTCCCCACAATCTTTCCACGTCCTTCCTTTATAGTTTCCATTGGTCTTTCTTTCTTATTCTTTCCTACCTTCTGAGCTTTATCCCTGTGTAAATGTTGCCCTTTTGATCTTGTATGGTTAGTTATTCTAACCTGGCTTTATTGTTCACCATATAGATCTGTCTATTGTTTGGCTGAAGGTCGATTCACTGGGATGAATCCGGTTCCACGCCTGAAGGGTGTCTAAGGGCCATAGTCTCAGGAGTTCCAGCAATCTCTATCAGATCAAAAAGCCTAGTCTTCTTTATCATGTTGAGCTTTGTTCCATATTTTTCTCCCATTGTATCCAGGACCTCCTACTGTGATCCCTTTTAGAAGAGTCAGCAGTAATAGCAGGTCACCATCTAATTATTTGGGTCTCAGAGTTGTAAAGACTGGGGACCATGGGGTCAATTAGATTTTGAGGCTAATTGTTTCCAGATGTCTTTGATATTCTTCATTCATCCATGCTCTGCACAAGGGAAAGACATTGATTGCACCTTACATGGCAGCTCGCCAGTTTTAAGACACCAATTGCTATTCACCAAAGTAGGATGGATAACATTGTGTTTGTGGACTGTGTTATGCCAATTGACCTCAATGTCCCCTGAAACTATGGTTCTAAGCCCCCAGACTCAGTAATGAGGCAAATTATATTCAGTGATCTTTCTCCTTTCTTGTGCTTCTTGTTGTCAAGTGCCATTGAGTCGATTCCAATCCATAGCAACCCTGTATAGGGTTTCTGAGGCGTGACTGGTGAGCTTGAACTGCCAACCTTGTGGCTCAAAGAGCAGCTTTGCAGTCCAGTGCATTAGCCCACAGCACCACACCAGGACTCCTCTCTTGTGCTTATGTACATGTAATCTATAAATATACTGTAGATGCCACCAGTTTGTTAATTCTGAGTAAATCTATTTTAATGTTATGTACTAAATCTTCCAGAATCTATTTTTGGGGATTCAGAAGGAAAGAGTTACTTCTTTCTCCCTCTCAGCTTTGATTTGCCACTGATTTCTCAACAAAAATCAATAATCATTGACATCCCACTGTGTGTTAGAAGTTCCTTTAGCTGCAATGAATAAGAAACCATGATCCCTGCTTTATTCCTGTGGATAGAGAGAAAAAAAAAGTAACAAAACAATTCAAAATCATCTTTATTAGAGATCATAGAGATAATGGTTATGAAAATACCCTTATCTCCATTTGTAATATGATAGAGAATAGCTTGGATACGGAGGCAAGGGGGGACATTTTTAGATAGAGAGTCTTCTCTTACAGGTGACACACCTGAATGATGAGAAAGAGACAACCCTGAGTATATCCAGGCAAAGTATTCTGCAGTTGGAGGGAAAGTGTATAGATCTCAAGAGGCCATGAGCTTGGTGTATTCACATAAAGAAACACTCAAAACAACTGAGTACAGCGAGCAGGGAAGAGCTGGTAATCAGATCTTGTCAGACTTCGTGGATCCTGGTAGTGTAGGTCTCGGTACCCCATTCACTTTATGGTGTGTACTGTCAATCTGCTCTTAGTCTCCAGGGCTTCCCATGAACTTCTATCTTTCTACGACACTTAATTGCCTCAAAGACTAGGCAGAGTGTGCTCCAGCCCCATTCAGCAACACTCACAAATCCCCTCTTCTCACACACCTTCATTGAATCTGTCTACTTTCACATCCTCCCCCTTACTTACTTACTCAGGGATCTGTGTCCCTTCCTACAATCATATTGTATAAGGAGTCTTCAAAATGTTCATGGAAAAATTCCCTTAATCTTTTCCTTCCATTTCCCCACAAACTTTCTGAAGCCCCCGTGTATATTTCTAGCACAGTTTTCCACAGGTGTTGGCACAGAAATGAAAACATAGTATTCAATACTTTTTTTTCTAACTGAATTACTATATATGAAATTTTTTTAGAAGCCACCAGTTTGGTCATTTCTTCCAACATATTAGAAAGCATATTCTTGTTATTATTGTCATTGTTAAGTGCCATTGAGTCAGTTCTGACTCATAGTGACCCTGTATAGGGTTTCCAAATAGTGGCAGGTGGGTTTGAACCACCAACCTTGTGGTTAGCAGTCTAAAGCAGATCCAACAGTGCCACACTGGGACAAGCTTCATTTATCTGATATAACATATAAGAAGACAGCTGGATATGAGAAAGAAAGTACAAAGAAAACACCAAAAATAAATTTGACTGTGGCACTTTGATATCTTTGTATTTGAGGAATTGTAACATCTAAGATTGTTGAAAATGCTGTCATTCTATTAGGAAGAAAATAAGTTCTAGACCAAGGACTGACAAATGGCATTAGAAAGGAAAGGAATAATCTGTAGGCAGTATGGGAGAAGATCTTCAAAACTGAGAAGAGTTTTAATGTTTTATTTAATTTTGCTTGACAAGTGCTTATATAATATTTGTTGTTGTTAAGTGCCATCAAGTTGGTTCCAACTCATATCGACCCTGGATAGGGTTTCCAAGGAGCGGTTGGTAAGTTTGAATCGCCAACCTTGTGGTTCAAACTGATCTTGCAGTCCAGTGCATTATCCCGCAACGCTACAACAGGACTCCATAATATCCAATAATAATATAACATTATAGACCAAGAATTGATTAAAACATTTTACAAATATTAATTCACTTGATCCTTATAAGCTTACCAAAAAGGTATCTTTGAACCATAAAGACTGTTATTTTTACAAGTCATAAAGTATCTGGACTTTCAGATGGTTCGACCTATTTATCCCTATCTTACAAATTATGACAGTTATACAAAATTTAAGCAACTTGAGAAGCAAAACCGAGATTTAAAGTTATGTAGTCTGGCTGAAGTGCTTGTAATCATAACACTATAAAAGAAAAGAGTTTCTCTGAGGAAACTCTGCTGGTTTCAATACACTTAGAGCAAAGATGCACTAGCTGTAACAGAACTATTAAATAGGTCATTGTCTTTGCCCTCACTCAGCCCCCATTGTTCAAATCCTCCAGCAATACAGGAACATAGCTTTTGAAAGAACTGGAGTAATTATAAAGTAAAAATACTTCTGAAACCATACCCAGTGACCCAATTTCACATTCATTATTGTGATTAGAAAAATGTGGCCAGCCCTCAAAAATAACTATAGCTTTTTACTTTCATTTATTGAAGGCAAGAGATACTGAAGAACAACATGTATACAACAATGTATCTTTTAAATATCTTTATCTTTCATCTTTTTCACACATTATTGATGCTCCACATCTCATTCCAGAGTCTTCCCTCCCGAAATTGTCTAATAGTTGCAAATGATTCCAAAGCACTTATCTTCATATTCTGTGTCACAAAACCCAAACAATCAGACAAGGAAAGAGCCTCTTCAGAATGTAGAGCAGGAGAAGAGATATAGCAGGCCAACCTAGAATCCTGTTTGTCAATGAGGTACAAGAAAGAGACAAAAACTGCCATGTGTTAATACACATGTAACATAAGCAGAGAATGTTAGAGAAGCTTGCCTTCTTGTTATCAAAATCACTTAAAACAGCTTCCTAAAACTCAAGATCTGGCTTAACAGTCTCCTCACTGACACTTTGATTTCCTTGTTTCTAAAAGTATAGATAGCAGGGTTCAGAAGTGGGGTGACAATGACATCAAAAATGGCAAGGAATTTATCCACTGGAACTGTGGGAAGTGGCCACAAATACACGAAGATGCATGGACCAAAAAATAAGACCACCACTGTGATGTGAGCTGACAGTGTGGAGACAGCCTTAGACAAGCCACCAGAAGAATGTTGCCAAACAGTGACCAGAATGAAGATGTAGGAGATAATCAAAATGAAGAAAGTTCCCAGAGAGATGAATCCACTATTGGCAGTGACGATGAGCTCCAATCTGTAGGCGTCTGTGCAGGCAAGCCTAATAAAGCGTGGAAGGTCACAGTAAAAGCTGTCTATTTCATTGGGGCCACAGAATGGTAGATTTACAACAAATACTAGTTGGATCAATGAGTGGATGATTCCAATGATCCAGGCAGCCACCAAGAGTAAGAAACAAGTTCTAAAATTCATGATGGTCAGGTAGTGGAGAGGCCTACATATAGCAACATATCGGTCAAGGGCCATATCTATGAGCAGCACCATCTCAGTCCCTCCAATAACATGAATGAAGAACATCTGAGCGATGCAGCCTTGGAAAGAGATTACTTTTCTTTCCTTGAAAAGATCAGAAATCATTTTTGGAGCTGCACTAGAAGAAACCCATATGTCAATAAAGGAGAGGTTGGCCAGCAGGAAGTACATGGGGGAGTGCAAGTGAGAGTCAGAGATCAGTGTGATCACAATGAGAAGGTTTCCTAAAATACCTGCTACATAGAACACAGAGAAAACTAGAAAGAGGACAAGTTGCATCTCTAAAGTACTAGTGAGTCCCACCAACACAATCTCAGACACGATTGAGTGATTCCTTCCCCTCATGGTCTCATCATGTGGCACTCCAAATTTGCCTAAAAGAATAGGAGAAATAAGAATCTGGAATTACTGGCAGGGTTCCATCAGGGAAGTAGAATCACTGGAAGATAATATACTAACAAATTTGTTACAGAGATTTGACCTTATGTAATCATGGAAGCTTGTTCAGCACTATCTATAAGATTGTGGTCTTTGTATCTACTGCTGTAGCTTGAAATCCACAGGGCAGTCAGGAAGGAAAGGTGGATGCAAAGTGGAAGAGAACAAAATGAACTAGAACCCACTAGCAATAATTAGAGCCCAAAAGGACAGATTGAAATTTATGTAAGTTCTCATTGCTGCTGGCCTTGATAACTCAGGTGTACAGCAGAAGCCAGGGCCCTCATTAAGTAGCTAAACAATGCACCTGGAGTTAGAGGTGCTAAAGGGGAGTACCAAGAAAGTGAGGCAGTTGCAGGACCATGAACCACCTTCTGCCAATGAGATGAATCAGTAATAAACAACTCATGTGAGCTACAAAAATGGCTGCTGCTTAACTTCTGCCCTCCAAATCTTTCAGGAGTAATATTTTTATACAAATCAATACGAGTTATAAGGTTTTTGCAAATTGACAGTCCTTTCATGCCTTAGTTTCCTATGCACATGATGTGTGTGTGCATGTGTGTTATTTAGATAGGGATTTTTTTTTTCCCAGAAAATGCAGTGTGCTTCTTGAAGCCCACCCTAATTTGGAACATGCAAGAAAAGGAATTCATGGAGATGTACCTCAGCGTACAAAGATAAGATGCCAGTAAGAAAGAAATGAACAAATTTTGAAATGTAGCTATTATCTCTTTCTATTCAGTCAAAACAGGTACTTATATTATTTGACAAAGACCATAAATTCATGGTCTCTGATTTCACCCATTTTCTTCCAAATTCCTTTGTTATTACTAACTCTGTAAAGTTTCTCAGTGGGCTCTCCTCTGATAGCAGGGAGCCATCTCAAATAAGAGGTCAAAAAAAGAGCAGACATTAAGTATTATATAATAAGTTGTTACTTCTAGCGTAGCTGCTGTTTATCCATAGGGGCTTCAAAATGCCAAAAGTTTGGGGCTTGACCTTTCTTTCTTTTTCCTGTTCCAAGTATTTTGAGACTGTCTCTGGGATTAAGAATTAGTCTATGGACAGTCTGGTCAGTTCTCATGATTTAGGAATCTGAAATAGGAATCAATTTAGTGAAGTTTATTTTAGGCCACCCTAGAAATATTCCAAATAGGCTTCCATATATGAAGGAAATCAAAAGTTAGTCTGATTTCCAAATGCTACATCCAGGACTAATCCTAAAGAATGTGAAAACTGACCTAAATTTTGAGTTAGCATGTTAGAGTACTCAGACATTAATACAGCTTTTGAAATTAAAAAGAAAAGAAAAAAATGTAGCTTTTTTGCTAGCCAGTAGACATCTATCTAGAAGTTCCCAGGGACCCCACAAAAATACTTCAACAACATAGAAGATATTTGCATTTACCAACATGCCTGGTAGATTTGCTGTTGTTTCCAACTCATAGCAACCCCATATAGGGTTTTTGAGGAGCGACTGTGTTTGAATCATCAACCTTGTGGTTAGCAGTCCAGTGCTTATCCTACAGTCCAGTTGATAGTGGTGATGGTTGTGTGCTATGGAGTCAGTTGCAACTTTTAGCAACCCTGTATTGGGTTTCTGAGGCTATTAATCTTTACTGGAGCAGAAAGCCTCATCTTTCTCCCAAACAATAACTGGTAGATTCAACCAGAGCTCCTTACAGCTTGGTGGATAAAAGACACTAAATAAATATGATTTCTCATGGGTGGATCATTGGATGGTCAAATGGTTCAATGGATAAATAAATGTAACATTTTATTTGGTCAGTTCATGCTTCTATGTTTATTTTCTTTCATCAAATTTACTCTCCAATTTTCTCTCTCTTTTAAACAGACCTACTCTCATTCTTTGAAATTTTATATTTACTGTATGTTAATCATTCACCTTAGCAAATTTATCATGCTATCTGAAAAGTGTTTGTTGTTGTTAAGTGCCATTGAGTTGGTTCCGACCCATAGCAACCCTATACAGGGTTTCCGAGGAGCGGCTGGTGAGCTTGAACCATAGACCTTGCAATTCAAACAGATTTGTAGTCTGGCGCATTAACCCACAGCGCCACAAGAGTTACATAATTTCAATTAATTCTGATGAAAACCTAATTGTAATGGATTTAAGAACAACCATCTACAATTACATTTGAACAACGTCAGATCTGGGTAACATACTGAGATAGGTGTATTTCTTACTTATCTACTGCTGCTCTAATAGACATACCGAAGTGCATGGCTTTAACAAAGGAGCTGTGGTAGTGCAGTGGTTCGAATCGGGCTGAGAACCTTAAGGTCTGCCATTTGAAACTACCAACTGTTCCACAGGAAAAAGATAAGGCTTTCTGCTCCGGTAAAGATTCACAGCCTCAGAAACCCTATACAGGGTCACTATGATTCGGAACCGACTCCACATAACCACATAAACACCACCACCACCATGGCTTTACCAAACAGAAATATGTTCTCTCAGAGGTGAGGAAACTGGAGTCTAAGTTCAGAGCACCGTCTCTAAGGGAAGGCTTTCTGTCTGCGCTGGCTCTAGGGGAAGGTCTTTGTCTCCTTTCAACATCTGTGAACTCAGCCTTCCTTGGAGATCTCTATGTGTCTTGACATTAATCTTCCCTTTTGTACCCAGGGTTTTTATGCTGGGAGGTTCTCTATGCTCTTCTCTCTCCTCAATTATCTCTCTTTTATTTCTTGTAAGATAAAATGTGTGACTCAAGTAAAGATGTGACTTGAGTAAAAGTAGTGACTTGAATCATTCTCTTGTAAAAGGCTGTGCTCAAGATACACCCTACACTAATCCTGCCTTATTAATGTATAGAGGTCAGGATTTGCAATAGGTAAAATGGAGGATAATCACACCAGATCACAAATGGAGGACAGCCGCACAACACTGGGAATCATGGCCTAGCCTCATTGATACATAATTTGGAGGACCCAATTCAATTCCTGACAGGAAAAAAAAACATAAACAAAGCTAATCACAAGTGGTCACAGAGAAATAGTAATGTACAATGGTATGTATTAAGGGCTAAATTTATGGTTCAAGAATTTATAGAAGAAAGCATCACCCAAAGTTGAAGTGAATCATTGGATCTTAAAGAAGGGGAATTTCCTTTACAAATTTCTCTGGAGTCCTGGTGTGGTGCTGTGGGTTAATGATCTGGACTACAAAATTACTTTAAACTGCAAGATTGGCAGTTCAAGTTCACCAGCTGCTCCTCGGAAACCTTATACAGGGTCACTATAAGTCAGAACAGACTCCATGGCACTTAACAACAACAATAATTCATATACACTCTCCATAAACAAGTTCACTGATGGACAACAAACTAGCTCCTGAAACAACGTATCTCTGTTCAGCATCTGTAATTATTATGAAACTCTTCTATCTAATGAGAGAAAATCTACTGTCTTTAACTTTTAACCACTGATCACATTTCTGCCCTTTTAAAACTTAATTAATTCTATCTTTGATATGCTCGCCTTTCAAATATTTGAAAGCATCACTCGTATCTACCTAAAATTATTATTTTCTAAACAAACTACCCGAGTTTCTTTTTAAACTCATTGTATAACATTGTATCCCATTTACTTATGAATCCTGGTCAACTTCCTCTAGAAAAGTTAGTAATAAAATGTGGTAAAATAAGAACTTTATATTTTAAAGAGTAATATAACTACTACTCATTTTAATTTCAAATACTTTATTGGTTTTAATGATGAATTTATATTAACATTGGAGTATAGTCACAGAAGTAAAGATTACAGAAGTAAGAAATTAATATTTTGATAAATATTAGAAATATGGTGGTAGTGGTGGTTATGTACCATGGAGTTGGTTCCGACTCATAGTGACCCTGTACAGGGTTTCCGAGGCTGTAAATCTTTACGGGAGCAGAAAGTCTCATCTTTCTCCTGCGGAACAAATGTCAGTATACATATGAATGGAACATGTGTATATTTTCCACTGCTTTAAGTGGTAATGATGTAATCAAGAATCTTGTACATCAGTGGCTTATAAAGACATCCATACAACAAATTCATCCTCAACATTCATAATTCTAACAGAGACTTTTTCAAGTTTTAGTATAATTTCAGGCATAAAGATTTGAGTCTTAAACAAAAGTTTATTCACAATAAGAGGAGACTACAGGCCAATATGGAGTCCTGTGTGGCATTGCAGGATAATACTCTGGACCACAAGGTCAGTTTGAGCCCCAAGATCAGTGGTTCAAACCCACGAGCAGCTTCTTAGAAACCTTATACTGGATCGCTATGAGTCAGAACTGACTCTACAGCACTAATAGAGGCTTTTAGCAAAATTGTAGGGTACAAGGCCAACAAACAAAAATCATTTGGGCTTGCATACACCAGTTTTACATTCAACAAATCATATACCATGTTTCATTACAATGATTATAATCCCCTCCATGTACCATCAGTTAACAGTGTTTCTCTCTATTCACTTTAGCTCTTTTTTAAAAAACAAACACTCAGGCATATATAATAATTTACACCACCAAAGGGTGCATTCTGCAAGTTCACCTCCTGGCCGCCAGCTCTTAGTCCCTCTCTTCCCATGAATCTAGAATCCTCAACTGCTCCCTCTCTCCACATCCTCTCTCTGCCTCCATCTCTAGTGTTGCTGCTTCTCTGGATAAGGTCTCTCATTCCACTTGAGCTCTTCTCCCTTGAGGATCTTAGAGTCCTTTGTTTCTTGACTATAAGATTAACCACTCTTCTGTTTTTGTTACAAAATGTCTACCTTTACAATTGTGACAGTCGCAATTTGTCGTGATAACAATTACTCACTATTGAATCGTAAGAATCTTATCCCCATCTCTTTTAACCAGATACTTGATGTGAAGACTCCTTCCCTCTCTATT